ATATTCTACCCTTTTTCTGGTCCTTTCTAATAGGATTTTTTTTAATAATAATTATAAAACATAAAAAAATAAAATTAAAAAATATCATACTACCTCCGTAAATAAATAAATAATATACAGGCCTCAAGCACCATCTCAACCACTTTCCAGCCCGCCACCTCCAATCGTCGGAAAAGATTGCCAAGTTGGGGGAAAAATTTCATCGTGATGGCAATTTTGAAAAGAAAGCTGAATTTCCAAAGAGTAAAAATGTCATCTTTATTACATTTTCAGAGAAATGTGACATTTTCTTACACAAGATAGCATTTTTTTTCTTATCGGATGTGGTGTGCTTTGCAGTGGAGGATGCAGAGGTAGTGGCCTACATATTTTTTTAATATTTTCTTAGGTATTTTATTTTATTTTATTTAGATTTTTTAATACTCCATCAGTAATATAAGTTCCCTACATTAGCTTTAATTTGGGCACACAATTTAAGATAAATTAGTAGGGGTAGAATAAAGTGATAAAGTAGGAAAGAGAAGATTAATGATAAAGTAGAATATAAAAGATAAAGTAGGTGAGAGAATGTAATCAAAAGAGTAGCGGGGTAGGATATAATTGAATGAGGTTAAAGGAAAGTGTAGGAAACTTTAAATACAACCCAAAAAGAAAATGTATAAAACTTTTAAATACGGAAGGAGTATTTTTTAAAAAATAATTTTTATTTTTCTTATTTTTAATGTATTTTTTCTTTTACTTATTTTTCTTATTTTTATTTTACTTTTTCCCGATTTTTTATTAATTTATAGCTATTTTACAATTTTTTATTTTTGTATCATAAGTAAAACTGTGATTTTTTGTATTAATAAATAAATCTATTAGAAATTATAGGTTGGGGTAGAATAGGAGTTGAAGAAGAGACATATATTACTTCTATTTTGAGAATAAAAGGAGTGTAGTCCTAATGTAGAATTTTGGGCTACTTTTAGTCCCATTTAAGGCTAATAGCGGTTTTATTAATTAACCAGGTCTATAATTTTAATTTCTATTATTATTGTAACATACTCAAGAATATTATAGAGAAAATTCACAAATACGGAGTAAGATCAAAATATACTTGTAACACATGTATATATATCCTCAATACAACTATTATTGTTTTTTCAAATCATAATCCATTCAATCACGAAATAAACTTTTATTCTATTATTAGGATACTTAAAACGAGTCTTAACATTGAAATAAAATATCATTAAATCATATTTGTCAGCATGATATATGTTTTACTTTTACTAAATTATTATATGCAATTATATTTCTTATATATAGATATACTATATATGAGGTGTTTTTGTAAATATAGTTGCAGTACATCGTATTATCTATTATCCGGGTCCAATTCTGATCACTAACAATATAATGTGGTATGAATGTGTTTGTCAGTAGGGTTATTTTATCGTTGCGTGATTGCGAAGACATACATAATACCTTCATCCCATTTTCCCATTTTAGTTAGTCATTTTTTACTTATCCATATAAAATGATAAATTTTGAGCAATTATTTTTAATTGTTATATTTATGTAAAATTTAATAATTTTATACTTTTATGATAATATAATCCCTCCGTATTTAAAAGTTCCCTACACTTTTCCTTTTTGGTAAATTTTTTCTTTAAAAATACTCCATTACCCTTACATTTTATACTTTTTATCATTTCTTTCTTACTTTTTCACTTTCTCTCCTACTTTTTCTATAGTATTCATTACCCTTACTATTCTACCTTAAATCTTATGTCATAACCAAACTTAGCGATCTTTGAAATACGGAGGGAGTATATTTTTAACAAAAAATATTCTCATATCATTTTTATATCATCAATATTTTTGTGTATAATCAGCGGCGGAACCAGGGAGGGGCGAGCCAATGCCGGCGCCCCTCCTTCACCGGTAGATTCATGGTATATATATGTGGTTATCCGCCCGCGCCCCTATCCCTGAAACTTTCATCTTCTTCAGTAGCTCGCCGGCGCAGAGCCTAATTCCTTGCCAAGACTGTCTTTTGTTTTTAATTTCATTTAGTTAAACGCTATCGTTTGTTTAAGTGAAACGGGAAACTAGTGAAGCTACCGAAAAATAAAACGACACCAAATCTAGTGAAAACGACATCTAATTATATAGTACTCGTATAACTAATAGGGAGTATCAAGACTCAAGTCTGCTTCCGGTGCGATTTTATTAGTGGAAGCCTCAAGCGGTGAGGGTAAATTTTACTTTTACTGGTTGTGTAGTTTTAATGTTTTATTCTTGATTTACTTTATGTAATTCAATAATTTTAGAATTGTGTAATTGTTGACTAAATTTCTAAAGTACTATTGTATCCGTATACATTTGTATATTACTGATGTTTACGACAAATTTGTATATATATGATATAAAGACATTTATGTAGATCATACTTAAATTAGGTAACTGCAATCTATTTTGAGAATTGTTTCTGATGTAAATAATAAGGTTAATGATAATAACTGTGATGTTGTAAGTTTTCTATTTCAAAATTTGATGATTAATTTATCATTTAAGAATGCTAATTATTTCTAATTAAAATAAAAATGAAATTTTTTAGTTGGAATGTCTAAAAATTTATATACTAGTGATCAAATATAAACTCAGTCTATGAAGTCATTTAAATTAGAGGTCGTTTGGTAATAATATCAAAATCGGCTGAAAAGCAACTTCAGCCAATAAAGCCAGAAAAGACTCCAATCTTACTACTCCGTATTTTTTATTATTACACAATTCAGCACACCAAATCAAAAGTTACGTATTTGGTGAAAAAATTGATTGATAAGGCTGATAATCCGAAAAGTAGGGCTACCAAACGGGCTTCTAATGAATCAAGTTTTATGTAACTAAGTAATTACTACTCCCTTCGTCCCGCAATTAAGTTCACACTTTGACACTGTTTGGCACTGTTTTGATGTAGATAATTTGCCAAATAAGAAAACTATTGAAGTGTGAAGTTAATTTCGGGACTGCCCAAAAAGGAAAGTGGGAAGTTGTTTACGGGACGGAGGGAGTATATGAAGTTATAGTTGTATACTCTGTAATTCTTTAGGTAAATACCGGCACCTGCTCAAAAACTGTTCTGGTTCCGCCACTATGTATAATATATAATCGGTTAAAAGTAAGTCATGTATTGATCATTGTTTTCCATCCATCTAGCTTTCTAGCTTTCATATATTCTTTTTGAATGATCACCCGATTTGTATAATACATGGTAGTAATTATATTAACGATACTTTTAAAAAACATTACTAAAATAGCATTTGATTATTTGAATGTTAAACACGTGCCTAAACACCACACACACACACATCCATCTCACTATATATATGGAGGCGCACGCATTGTTTGCTAAGTCATCATCCACAAGACCACAACAACACAGAATATTCCAAAGCTGAGCTAAACACAAAACACTTGCTCCGGCAACTAATGACGGCGTTTATATCGTTTACATGGGCGGCGCGGCTAGTAATAATGCCGGCACCGCCACCAGAAACCACCGCGCCCACCTCATCACCAAACTCGTTGAAAGCACCGCGTTGGTGCACACCTATACAAACGGGTTCTCGGGCTTCGCGGCCCGTTTGACCGAGGAACAGGCCCAGTCCATTGCTCAAAAGCCCGGTGTGGTGTCCGTTTTTCCCGACCCGATTCTCCAGCTCCACACCACCCGGTCGTGGGATTTCCTTGACTTCTTTTCTGGTCAACACTTTGACCCCACGCAGAAGACATCTTCGCCGCCGCATTTTGCCGCCTCTACTACGTCGTCTTCTTCCTCTACCCCACAAGACACCATCATAGGATTTTTAGATACAGGTCTATATAAAATTATTTTAATTTAATCTTCAACAAAAAATTAAAAAAAAAACTAATTGATTATTAACGTCACCTTTTCTCCACAAAAAAAATGTCACCTTTTTCTATAGCTGCACACATTGTCATTGTTACTTAGTTTAATTATACTACCCGATTATTATTTTTTCTTCCAAAAAAATGTCACCTTTTTCTCCTTCAAAAATAATTTCACATTTTTCTATAGCTACACACATTGTTATTGTTACTTAGTTTATACTACTTCCAAAAAAATGTCACATTTTTCTATAGCTACACATTGTTATTGTTACTTAGTTTATACTACCCGATTATTATTTTTTCTTCCAAAAAAAATGTCACCTTTTTCTCCTTCAAAAATAATGTCACATTTTTCTATATATAGCTAAACACATTGTTATTGTTAGTTTATACTACTTCCAACCCGCAACGAAGTCCAAAATTTCACGTTTTTCAAAATCGACATTTCACTACTACTTCGATCCAGTACTATTTAACATTATAAATTTATATAATTATCTATAATAAATTAATATTTGAATAACCTACCGTATACTCTTATTTTTGAATAATTTACGGTCAAAGTTAACAAAAGTCAAAATATAAACTTACATAGAGTAGATGTTAGAGTACTGTCATACACCGGAAAAATATAAAACAATAAAACAATATATAAGACTTAAGGTTAATCGTACTGTCAGCTAGGTTGATTTTTTAGAATGAAAGTTCAAGTCTGATCTTAATCGTATATATTTATGTGTAGGAATATGGCCGGAGTCTCATAGTTTCAATGACTTCGGCATGGGACCCATTCCGGCCCGCTGGAAAGGAGTGTGCGAAAATGGCCATGATTTCAATGCTTCCCTCAACTGTAACAGGTTTGTTTATGTGTTTTAATTTGTCATATTTGACTTTTTGGTCAATGATATTAGACTTTGACCCTTTTTCATAATCACAAAAATGTTTTAATGAGAACAATAAATTTTGTACTTTTGTAATATCAAATGGAAACTCAGTTTTCTTTATATGATATACTTTGGCTTAATTTTTGGGTTTCGATATGTGGCCTCAAACTATCTAGTCTACATCATTAATTTTGGGTGTAAATTTATTATGGGCAGGAAAATAATTGGAGCCAGGTACTATTCGAACACCCGTAACGTGACAAACGGGTCACCCCGCGACTTTTTCGGGCATGGAACACATGTTGCCTCTACGGCTGCAGGCTCCCTAGTTGAAGGCGCTTCTTACTACGGGCTCGCTTTAGGGACCGCCAGGGGCGGGTCCCCTGCATCGAGGATCGCAATGTACCAAGTCTGTGACGAGTCCGGGGGCTGCTACGGGTCCGACATCTTGAAAGCCTTTGATGATGCCATTAAGGACGGTGTTGACGTGTTGTCCTTGTCTCTCGGCCGGCCAGCATGGGCCGCGCCCGATTTCTCGACGGACCCGATCGCGATCGGGTCCTTCCATGCTGTTGAGCAGGGCATCATTGTCGTCTGCTCTGCAGGAAACAGCGGGCCCTACCCTAGCACCATCACCAACGAAGCTCCATGGATCTTCACTGTCGCGGCCTCCACCATTGACCGCCACTTCGAGTCAGAAATCATCTTAGGAGGGTATAATAAAGCTATAAAGGTAATAACTAACTTATTATACGCATTAAAACCACCCTTCAGAATGTTTTTAATTGAACTAGTTTCAATTCTCGACCAAACTATAGTAGTCATAAACATATCAGAGCAGACTTTGGGAGTTGTAAAATTGTCTAGTCCCGTCCCCTAACAATACATTTCTGACTCTACCACGACTCGACTTATATTCTTTTGATCTTTATGAATGAAGGGGCAAGGCATTCATTTCGGCAAGCTAAAGAAAAAGGCGGTGTACCCGTTGGTGACGGGGGCGTCGGCGAGGTTGAAGAATGCGAGTGAGAGTGACGCAAGGCAATGCTTCTGGAACTCATTAGATCCAGCGAAGGTTGAGGGGAAAATTGTGCTGTGTGAATATCTGCCAGGAGAGTATGGGTTTTCATGGGCATATTTAGTGCTAAAAGATATGAAGGCTATTGGGGTGATCGAAATAGTGAGTGAGGAAGATATGTCCATAGCTCCAAACTATAAAGACTTCGCAGGTTCCTCAGTTTCTGCAGAGCAAGCCATCGACATTTTCACTTACCTCACATCCACCAAGTATGTACTCCTAAACTTTACAAGTATAAATAATGCAAAAATATGACTTTTTACATTTTTTCTCTTAATAATACCAACTTACTCCTATTATAAAAGACAAAATTCTTTAAATATGACTAAAACATAGACAAAATGTACAACTAGGATCACTGGCCGCTGTTTTAGTCCTGTTTGAAGCCATTTCTGTAAAATTACATACATTGTTTTTTAATGATATATATATTCACTTAAATACTTGGAATTGACACTGAATGAATGGATGATGCAGGAAGCCGGTAGCGTCGATCCTTCCAACTGTGACAACTATAGGATATAAACCAGCTCCTGTTGTGATCTACTTTTCTTCAAAGGGTCCTTCTCTTGCTAGCACTAATCTTCTCAAGGCATGCATATTTAATTACTTTACCTTCCTAATTATGCAGTATTGCAGTAATAATTTAACTAACTGTATAGATGGTTTTAATTTAATGAATAATGATAGTAGAGCCGCAGCTTTATCAGGCCCAGTGTTTTAAATAGCCATAGCGACAGCGCTAGCGGCAGCGCTAGCGGTCATCTCGGTAACGGCCTGTAGCGGTTGCGGCGGCGTAAAATATTTTTAAATGCGCAAAACATATCTTTAATGGGTGTTAAAGTTAATAGAAACATTATGAATATTTGTTTGCACACTTATAACATTAACAACTAATCAACCAATAAGAATACGACAATTAAAAGAGAATGATAATTAGAACAATTGATGCATCACCATTAATGTATTTTTTCACATCATGCACACAACATTTACACATCAACCAGTTCGTGATGTACTGCCGGAAGTGCCAGTAGCGGCCTGTAGCGGGCTATAACGGGCGGCGTAGCAGGATTTTCCTGTGATTTGAAAATCACACCCTGATAGCGGCCTACAGCGGTACTGGTACCTACCGCGACTGCAATATAGCGGCCGCTATAGCGGTAGCGGACCACTATTTAAAACACTGATCAGGCCCAATCCTTATATTTTGAAGATTCTTTTCAAAACATACAGGGAATTTAAAACAATTAATTATGAAGAATGACTTTTAATAAAAGGGCATTGAACATAAATGTGATTTTGTACAATTTAGGAATTATATACGTAGTATGATTTGCTTGGAGCCTTAGAGGATTGAATATATTGTGTATATGCATGCATGCAGCCGGACATTACTGCACCAGGGGTTAACATTCTAGCAGCATGGCCTGATCGGACTCTCGGCGGTCATTCACCGCCCATCCCCGGCGTGAAACTTCCCGGTTACAATATAATCTCAGGCACTTCCATGGCTTGCCCCCATACCTCGGGAACTGTTGCTAATGTCAAGGCACATAACCCCACATTCACCATTTCCGCAATCAAATCTGCCATTATGACCACGGGTACGTGCATATAAAAACCATGATTTCGATTAATATAATATTATGAATGTTATATATTTTATACTTTTATTACTTTAGTATAGGGTAAGCTAGACTGCGTACACCGTGGTAATATTATTGTTGTTTAAAGTACTACTCCGTATTTACAAAGATTATTTTCATATAATTTTAATTTTATACTACCCTAGATTTGGTGTCACATTTAGTCTTTCCAACTAAACTTCTCATCGTTTCTTTGTAAAACTGTTATTGCAGCCACACAGACAAACAACATGAATGCCCCCATAACAAACTCATCTGGATTAGCTGCCACACCATACGAATTTGGAGCTGGCCAGATCAACCCTGCATCAGCACTAGACCCCGGGCTCGTTTACGAGACCGATATCGAGGATTACTTCATGTTCCTATGCGCCACGGGCTATAACACGTCTCAAATCAGGCTCATCTCTTCAAAAGTGCCAAAACACTTCAAGTGCCCCAAGAACATGTCCCCGGATTTGATATCCAACATCAACTACCCTTCAATTGCCGTCTCTAAGGTCATGGAAGGTCAAACCAAGACAGTGACTAGAACCGCGACCAACGTTGGGGATGAAGACTCGGTGTACATTGTGACTATAGAGGCGTTGACCGGGATCGAGGTCGGGGTGACCCCTAATAAGTTGGTGTTTAGCAAAGAGAGAAAGAAGGTTAGCTACAATGTGACTTTTACTGCTGTGGAATCTCTGAAGGAGGATGTCTTTGGCGCAATCACATGGACAAATGGCAAGTATAGTGTTAGGAGTCCTATTGTTGTAAGCGTTATTGACTATTCAGAGAATTGATGAGGAAAGTGTTTGTATTCAATATAGTTGCATTCAACTTCAATAATTAAATGATATGGAGTAGTTTGAATATAATAAAGTGCTCACTTTTTATCATTTTTGTTGTCTTACGTTTTGAATAGTAGCTTATTATCAGCAAGCTTAGGCTATGTTTGGATGCTCTAGATCAGCCGATTTTGAACTGAAATTTTCTATTTAAGGCAATTACAATAATTCCCTGTTTGGACAACATGCTGAAAGTGGCTGAAGGGGGAAAATGTTAGGGCCTGTTTACTAACAGAGATATTTTCCAGTTTTCCAGAAAACTGGAAAACTGGAAAACAGAAAACAGGAAACGTGTTTACCAAAGAAATTCCTGGAAAACTGGATAAATGAAAAAAGAAAAACGCGTTTACCAAATCGTTTTCCAAAACGGAAAAAATGAGACATGTTTCTCTTCTCCTAAATGATTTGGAGAAGTGACTTTTACTAGTTTTCCAAATTTGGAAAACGCAAATGCTACAGTGCCGCTGCAATGAATTTGCATACTTACACCTAGTGGTGGGTCCGGTCCCGCTCCGATGTCGATTCCATTTTGGTACCTCCATCCTCGTACCTTACCCCTTACCCCTACCCTACCCTACCCTACCCACCCAACCCCACCCCGCATACCCATTTTTCCCTATAATGACCCTACCCCGCCCCCTACCACATGCCCCTACCTCGCCCCACCCCGATCCACCCTACCCTACTGCCACCCCTACCACCTCGACCCCACTCCGACCCATCCTACCCTGCCCCCACCGGTATATTACCCCTTACCCCTTACCACATGCCCCTACCTCGGCCCCACCCCACCGCCATCCTACCCCCACCCTTCCGCCATCCTACCCCCACCCTACTCTTCCCCTATCTCGAGGCCCACCCAGATCCCGGGCCCACCCTACTGCCATCCTATTCCACTACCCCTACCTTACTCCAACCCTACCCACTACCCCCACCTTTACCGCCATTCTACCCCCTACCCCTTCCCTGCCTCGACCCCACCCTGGTCCCGGCCCCACCCTACCGCCATCCTATCTCAACTCCATACCCTACCTTTACCTTACCCCAAACCCTACCCACTACCCCACCCTTACCCCTAACCCCCTACCCCCACCCAACCCCCTACCCCTACACCTTACCACCCCACCCCGACCATACCCCTTACCCCACCCCCACCCATAACTTCCCTACCCCGACCCCTATGAGTAGGTATGGGTGGGTATGAAGGGTTGTGGGGGAGTATGGGTAGAGTGTAAGATCGTGGTAACAGTAGGGGTCAAGGGTGTGGAATTGGTGAACTGGGTGAAAAAATTGATGAACATATTTTCAGATTTGAAAATGGAAAACTAAAAAATAGAAACAGAAAATTGGAGATAGAAAAACTGAAAAATAAAAACAGAAAATTGGAGAACGAAAAACAGAAGTAGAAAACAGGAAAATATCTCTGCTAGTAAACAGGCCCTTAGCTTTTGTCAAACGTTGATGCCCCAAGCGTTTACTTTAGCCCTTATAATTGTAGACTTTACTTAACAATTATACCCATACTTTTTTCAATAAATTACGTTTATTTTGCATTTTACAACTTTTAATTGTTTTGTGTTTGCTAAGTACATCACAAATATATATTTACCTTTAAAAAAAAGTACTTTCAAATGCTTTCAATTATACGGAGTGTGTGACACACGGTCAAACAATTATTCGTAATGAAAAATATTTTATGAAAATAATTATACAAAATATTTTGTTACATTAATAAGTCATATGCCCTTTAATGTAATTTCATATTATCTGAGTACTTTTTCAGCTCTTTTTGCCAAACAGGACTATTCTATTCAGTTAGTCATTCAGATTCAGCACTTCAAAATTCAGATTCAAACTATAGTCCCTGATTCAGACAATAGCTCTTAATTCAGACATTAGCCTTCAGTTCTAGCTCGATGTGCCAAACATAGCCTTAATGTGCTTACATATATATACACAATTAAGCAAATTGAATAGAATTTAATATGGATTATTATGGAGAATCGAAATTCATTAGAAGTTTTACTTTTATTAGCTGCTCGAGTTGAAAAACAACATATCAAGATGAGCAGTGAGATGCCATGCATCAATGTCCTTTTTCAATTCGAGATCTGAATCTAATTAACCAGAATTAGACCAAATAAGTTTTAGTTACTTCCTCCTGAATAGGATCAGAGCTGATAATATATTTCGATTTTTTTAAATAAATTGGATCAAGTAATTAACCGAAAACCGAAACAAAAATTATACCTGAGTCAGAAGAGGCTTAATTTACTTGTTCAATTAAGGTTCTTGTTCCCCTAGACGCTGCCATATGGATTGGGATCCTCTGCCTTAAGGCAGAGGTGCCTTACTCAAATGGACGGCACAGATTGAAAAGTAGGCCTCGAGATTCGTGCAAAAAATGGAGCCCTTCATTTTCAACCCTTCATTTTTTGATCTGATGGATGAAAACAGTCAGGCACCCTCCTTGGCTGCTTAACCAAGGCAGAGACGCCGGATCCCTGCCATATATACTCGTTTAATGTAAGGGTGGAAACCAAATCAAATACGATCCCCTTAGTCCCATATGTTTTTTGTATTACTCTCATCAAACTTCTACATGTTAAAACAATTACCAAAAAAGAGTTGTATAACTCTACATGGTATAAACAGGCAATTCGGGAGGGATGAACATAACCCTCCCTTGAGAGTTTGAGCGGTGAACAAAATGTATCATGCTCACATTAATCACTTACGGGTTTGGGAGTTTTGCACTCGAGTGAGCGGGGTAGTGCATGACACGACGAATTAGGAATTAAGGTAATTGATAGTTAGAGAGACCCCTTAGATTGTTGGGCAATAGTTAGGCAATGGCAATCTAAGAAGAATGGTTTAATCGTACTCTTTCAGATGATTCAACGATGGCTGGATGAGACCGTTGAGTTGAGATCTCAAGTTTAATCTCCGAAACAACTACAATGTGATGACTTCTTTTGTGCTATCAGACTTTGAACCAATGTCAATAAACAACTACTCCCTCCGGTCCTTATTAAAGTTCTCACTTTTCTTTTCGGGATGTCTCTTATTTAAGTTCACACTTCCATTTTAGGAAACAAAATAGTGCAAAACAATGTCAAACTGTGTCAAACAGTATCCAAACAGTGCCAAACAGTGCACTCCACAGTGAAGTCAAATTTATTTTCTTAATTTGTGTGAATTCAAACTGACAATTTTAATAAGAATGATTATTTAAGATGATACTCCTTTAACCTTTTATTGAGTCGGAGTGTGGCCGTGTGGGTCAGGGGCAATTTTACCTCTTTTGTTAGAAGAATGATTTATTGGCAAATACTCGTACTCCGTATATTTTAAGATTCTACTCCGTAATGAATAAGGGATTCGACCCCACGAGTCTATGGAGAAACAACTTTTTCAACTTTTTCAGCAGAAATTCTCTCTTTGCCCCAGATAAGGAAGCAACAAAGAAGAAGTAAATTTGGCAACAATGGCGGCGGATTCCTGCTCTCATTGGTGGCACGCTCCATTCTACGTCTCCCTCTCCATAGCTCTGGCGTTCGTGGCCATCTCCACCAGCATCCACCACTCCAATCACAGCCCTCAACCCGCACCACTTCTTCATCACAGCCTCTCCATCAACGCTTCCCTCGCTCTCCGCCACCGCGGCGGCTTCACGGTCTTCGCCGCCCTCCTCCAGATCTCCCCGGACCTCTTCCTCTCTCCGCCGGAATCCACCGTGTTCGCCGTCCCCGACTCCGCCTTCTCGAACCTCTCCCTCCCTTCTTGGGCCATCAAGCACCTCCTCCTCTACCACACCTCCCCTTCCTCGCTTCCGTTCCGATCATTTCTCAAGAACTCTCCGGGCACCTGCCTTTCCACCCTTCTCCATGACCGGACCGTTCAGATCTCCAAGATTGATCAAGAAAACGGCCATTTTGAGATCAACAATGTTTCTATCACATACCCAGATCTATTCCTCGGAAACCGCCTCGTCGTCCACGGAGTAGCCGGGTTCTTCTCGCCGGTGAACCTCAACCGGAGGGATGATATCATTCAGTCGCCGCCGGCGTGTGAATCGGAGTTCCAATGGTCAAGAATCGTCCGGTCTCTGAGCTCTAACGGGTTCGTGTCATTCGCGATCGGACTCCACTCTGTTCTTGACACCATCGCCGTGAATATGGGCTCCGTCACCGTCTTAGCGCCGCCGAGCCTGGGATTCTTGGACTCGCCGTCGCCATTGCTGGACAGAGTGGTGAAGCTTCATTTACTGCCTCGGATGTATCGTTTTGATGAACTGGCGTCTCTGCCAAATGGGTCTGTTCTGAAGACTCTGTTTCCAGGTGCAGAGCTGATGATCAGTGTTGATAATGTTACCAAAAGCGTAACAGTTAATGGAGTTGAGATCACCGCACCAGATGTTTTGAGATCGGAACATTTCACAGTCCATGCCATTTCTCGAGCTCTGGGAGTGTATAGTCATGATTCTTGATCAGATTGTTTACTTCTGAAGCTGCTGCTGCTCTGTTTTTCTGTTTCTTTTTTTGCCAATTGCACAGCAAAAAGCTTATGGACTTGAAGTTTGAAAATTTGGTATTGGAACAAAAAAGTGAAAAACATCTGAATTTAGTTTTAAAATGATAGCACCGGTGAAAGAAGTCTTAGATCAAATACGATTAACGACAAAAGCAAACATAAAATCTGAAATAATATTTCAATGTTATGTCCTGAATAAAATTTATCTTTTTTTTTTTTTTTGAAATTGTTGTTTTATAGGTGTATGCTCAAGTTTCATTAAATATAGAGAAAACTGTCAAATTGATCCTCGTATTTTCATGAAAAAGTCAATTAGATCCTCGTCAGCAAAATTATTGCTGACTGGGCAGTCACATGTGCGCCACATCAGCATATGACATGCTGGAGTCGTATACTGTACAGCCGGCTCTACAGTGACCACCGTACAGCCAGTGGCAAACTTGTAATTTTTTTGTAAAAAATGCGGATTC